CACGTGCCAGAACACGGGCGGTTTCCCTTTGCTATAAAAGAGGGCCAAACCCAGGCCCCGTGGGGAGCCACTTCCCACCCCCCAAACACAGGGGGGCCACTATCACAAGTGTTTAACCCCTGTAAAACCTTGAGGGGTACGAGTATCTTTGCGATTAAAAAAAAAAAAACAGAATTTTAAACTAATTTTAAAACACTAGTTCCTTCACCTCCCTCTTTCCCAAGCCATGCCTGCTTGGGTGGGATGGCTTGGGGTGGGATGGCGTCTTGGGCCGACATCAGGGAGAGCTCGAGGGAGGAATTCTGAGCAGTAGCCAGGAGAGTCCTGGGCGTCCTCTCCTTGCTTGAGGCACCTCTGAGCCTCGGCCTCCTCACCTATAAAACAGGACTACTAACGACTCTTCTGCTCTCGTCACAGGCTGCTATGGGGACCAAGAGAAACACCCCACACGGTGTGGTCACTGTTATTGATCACAGCAGCTGGGATGCTGGGCTCACCCACCGTGTGCCAGATCGTGCAAACCAAACCCTCACATGCATCGCAACGACTCTGCACTAGCCCGGCCCCTTGTGCAGGGAGCAAGAGAAGCCAAGTGATGTGCCCAACAGCCCCAGGTCATGGGTTCTGGGAGGCCTGGAGTCACTCTGAGTCTCACGACCTCGGGGCTAGAGCTGGGGCAGTGGGAAGGTCGGGACTGGCCAGTGGAGGACTCACACTGACGCTCAGCCACCCCCGCCGACACCAGGGCAGCCTCGCAGCCCCCGATTCACTGGCGGCGGGCAAATGCCCACTGAGGCGCTGTCCTGGCAGTTACCTTCTGGTCTTCCTCTTTGGTCCATGGCCCTTTGACAGGGAGTTCGAAACCAGCCTGAGCAAGAGCGAGACACCGTCTCTCCTAAAAATAGAAGGAAATTAGCTGGACAACTGAAAATATGTAGGAAAAACTAGCCGGGCATGGTGGCGCCCACCTGTAGGAGGTTGAGGCAGAAGGATCGCTTGAGCCCAGGAGTTTGAGGTTGTTGTGAGCTAGGCTGACGCCACAGCACTCTCTAGCCCGGGCAACAGGTGAGACTCTGTCTCAAAAAAAAAAGAAGAAGAAGAAAGCTGCTGATGAGGGCAGGAGGAGGCTGAGAACCTCCTAAACTAATTCTCAATTTTATGTATCAGCTTGCTCTGTCACCCTTCACCTGTGGGCAGACAAGTGCCAGTTACATGCAGAAGTATGTCACCAGGAAGGGCCCCGGAAACACGCAACCTACTTTGAGACTCTGTGGCAGAAACTAACCAACAACTGTCGATGAGGTGTTCAATGAGATGATGGTGGATCAACGTGAAATCAAACAGACCGAGCTAAGTCAAGCCCAGAGGCTGAGCTGCCCCGGGCAGCCGTCTCACCTGGCTTTCCACAGGCTGGGCACTCTGGTGGCCGTCCTTGTCCTCCACCTCCAGCAGCAAGTACACGGGGGGCTTGTAGTCTTTGGACTCACTCAGGAAGCCTCCCGTGTCCACCTTCCTTTTGATGGTAGAGTTCCAGTGATTCTTCACAGCATTGTCCGTTCTGCAGGCGGGAACAGGGGGGACATTTAAACCCCAGCTCTGTCTCCCTGAACCGAGTTCCTGTTTCTGTAAACAAGGCTCCACCGATTAAGGCCTCTTTCAGCTCTAAGATGAAGTCTCACATGTCTCTAGCCCTTAACGATGGACAGAGCATTTACACAGAGCTCTGTGAAACAAGCAAATGTATCATTCAGGCTATGGCAAAAATTATAAAACCGAAGGTACGTGTCTAAAACTCTCCCATAGCAGAAGGCCAAAACATGAGATTGTACGTCATTTAAAAAGACAGAGGTGAATACCAGAAGGACTCAAAAATGATGAGTCTGTTTAGTGGAGTGACTTACAGAGTGGAGACAAAGACTGATGTTTTCCATTACAATTCTTTTACTAGGTTACAGCACTACTTGATCTTTTTTCTTCTTAAAGGAAGCCCATCTCTCCATACCCCCAGCTCATTTTATATCAACTAAAGAAGAAACTGAGGCCCAGTAGAGAAAGGGGCTGACCAAGGAAAAGACATGGCAAGCTGGGAGAGGGTGAGAGCCAGGGTCCGGGCCCCCCAATTTCTGGCAGAGGCCTCCCTTCCCACCTCCTGTCCTTTCAAGCTGATGAGGTCAGGGCTTTCCTGGGGGAACCACCCCTCCTCCTGACTACACGCCTCCAGGAGCTCGGGAGCCGAGGCTGGGGGTCAAGGAAAAGAGCACAGTGCCCGCCTGGAGCCCGCCGCCAGCACAAGCACGGGAGCCTCGCCCTGCCCACCCCAGGCCCCCAGCCCCAGAAGGCAGCTCACCTCCCCGGCAGCATCTTGGCGATCTCAGCCCAGCGGTTGCCCAGCACCTTGTGGGCCTCGCAGATGATGCGGTCCTCCTCCTCGGTCCAGCAGGACTTCTTCACCTCGGGGTTGAGGTGGTTGTGCCAGCGTTCGCGGCACTGCTTCCCCAGCCGGCCCTTCAGGTGCTTGGCGATCAGCGTCCACTGCTTCGTGCCGTACTTCTTGACTAGCTCAATGACCTTGGGGAACAGCCTCTGTGAAGCGCGCGGGGCCTCCCCCGCCTCCACCACAGCGCCCTCACATCCACGAGCCTCGCCGTGGCCCTGAGAGGTGCCACCTGCCACACACCGCCTGGCCACGTGGGAGCCAGTGAGGTGGTTGTTAAGAGACCACTCGGGAGGACTCTGCGCAGTCCACAGGCACCTGCCTGAGGTCCTTCCCCCCGTCCCCATCACTCACTGCCTCGAATAAATCAAGGCCAAGAGTGCTGGAGACTTCCCCTAGAGCAGAACTCAAGCAAAGAAAAAAGAGCCAGGGTCCTGCGTCCCTTCCCTCAGGGCTCAACCCAGCCAAGTCACTCCAGAGAAAAGGGCAGAAAGAAGGAAGACCTGCCCACGGGAGCATCCAAGGCTCACTCCCCACTCACTGCCAGGCCACGTGAACTAGAGGGGGCGTGGCTCCTGCCCCAGCCACGCCCCAGGCTGCCACGAGCCCCTCTAGCACCCCTGTGGAATTCAGGAGGGCACAGCCCCAAGCCTTGGTGCCAGGCTTGGGGGCCTGACCCAGCTGGAATGGAGTCCCTACCTATCCCCTCTGCTGGGCTCAGAACACAAAACACATGTGTGGCCTCCACAGCCAGGCCAGGCCCCTCCTTCTACAACAGACACACACATTCTCGTGTGCACACAGGCCACAGTCAAATGGGAAGAGTGGACATTTCAGGGCAAGAAGATTTGGGGGCAAGCAGAAATGTTCTACTCCATTTCCGTGTGGTTTAAATTTTTACAGCAACCAAGCATCACTTTAATTTAAAAAAAAAAAACAGAATTTTAAAACTAATTTTAAAACACCTAGTTCCTTCACCTCCCTCTTTCCCCAAGCCATGCCTGCTTGGGTGGGATGGCTTGGGGTGGGATGGCGTCCTCTGGGCCGACATCAGGGAGAAGCACGAGAGGGGAGGGAACTTCTGAGCAGTAGCCCAGGAGAGTCGTGGTGCTGTCTCCTCCTG